GCAGCCACGCCATCGCCCGCAGGCAAGACCCGCAGGCCAGGGCCACTGACTTGAAACTGATGACAGTCGCCTCTAAGGCCACGGCCCTCGACCAAGAGACAAATAATCAGATCACGCGAGGCGCCGGAAGAGTCCCAATTTATAGCTGAGCCGGGCGTAAATGAAACCTAACAGGAAGGCGCCAATCAGTGCGATTGGGCCGCGCTTTCTAAACTCACGCAGCCGATTCCCTTCCGAGACCCGAAGCTCTGCCAGGGCTTGCGCCAACTCTGCCACTTGAAGCTCCAAAGAATCGATGCGCGTCCGGCTCATGGCGCTGGCTGTCAATGGCAAATTAACCAAGATATGAAGGGTTTGTGGCATGTGACTTCGAGCCAAGTGTAGTAATTCTACCCGCCCGACCTTGCAGAAGTGCCTACCCAACAACCACGCACCCGGACCCGCTAAACCCGCCCGACCCTGCAGTCCCACCCAACTCAACCACGCAACCGCTAAACAACGCCAAGGCCTTCCGCTGCCTTCTGGAGGACGATCGCCCATCTGCCTACGCAGATTTCCTCGAAGCATCGCCTCTTTTTGTTAGCGCACCCTGACGCCGAGGAGAAGCGACGCAAGTTGCCACTCCGTTTTCTGGAGGAGCCCTGTGGCCACACTTGTATTAGGAGGTGTCGCTCTGCGAGACAGCGGTTTGAGCGACGAACGCCGCCAGCAAGCCGGACGGACGGGGCTGTCGTCCAGCGACGAAGATGAGGGCAAGGAGGACGGGCGCTTGCAAGTTGCGGAAGGGTCGGCAGAGCGTTCGGCGCTCGTTTCTCCAGAAAGTGTTGGGGCCGGTTGCTGGGTACCCAGAAGAATACGAACTGCTCCACTTTGTGTATGACTTAGTCATGTGGAGCACGCTGGGTGGAATGAAGAATTCAGCAAAAGGAGTTCCAGGCTGCGGCTGGCCTTAAAGAATGTGTCCTTCTCTCCGGAGTACTGGCGCGCGCGGCGCTTGGCCCTGCTCTCGATCTCCAGCGCCAAATTGGCCTGCCATTCCTCTTCAGGGCACGCGCGCCGTACGAGCCATCCTTTCCGTACCACGTGTGGGTGATGGACGAGATGGCGAAAGCTGGACGCGGGCGCCAAGAACTGGCCGGGCCGGAAACTCTGCACATGGCCCATGTTCTCAAGGAGTTTGACCGCGGTTACTTCAGTGGCATGAACCGCCGGACCGCGGGCAAGAACTGGAAGGGGCACTTGCTCGGCGCTGCTGACGGATCGGGCGCGCAGACCGTCGTTAACTTTGTTTCGCGGCTGGACTTTCAGGACGGCAAGCGCAAGACGAGGACGCAGCGCTACCACGGGCGAGGGACGGTCCACTCTCACTCGCTCGACTTCCTCCGCAACGTCGGCTCCATCAAGTTGGAAGAGAAGTTGAGCGCCAGCCTTCCCGATCCTACGCGAGAGCCCTTGAGCCGCGGCGTTGTGATTGACTCGCAGCTTGATCGGAAGAAGAGCCAAGTCCCCGTTCGTGAGGAGCCGTCTATGTGGGACGAGGCTGGCCAGAAGGTGTTGCTCCACCACAACGAGGAAGACCACGACCGTAACGTCCGCGGCTATTTTCCGGAGGCGCTGCAAGTGACGAAGTGTCACGAGGATGTGCTCCAGGCGGACGGCCGCGGCGCTCTGTTTCGACACGTGTCCACGTACCAGCAGAAGTTCAGCGGCGGCTTCGCAGGAGATTGGCTGAACGACGACGCGTCGGATGTTGTTTGACCACCATCCGCTTGAGCCAGAGATGTGGCTGGGTTTGAGCGGCGCCCTCTTCCCGCAGTTTTCGTTCGGGCAGACTCTGGTTGATGTTTTCGCCCCTTGGCCCGGCATGGAGGAGCCGCCCGCCTATGTCGCGCTCTATGAGGACTGCGAGTGGAGGGGCCCGAACATGTCGCTTCTCGCGCAACGCCGAAGGCAAGATCGTCCAATGGGCCCAGCGGAAGTGGAAAGCGGCGTAGGGGGCCGGCGGTACGTTGGACGAATTTGCTCGGAGCTGTGCGTGTGAAGGGGAGAAGGCTGTCGCGGCCGGCTGCGTGTCTTCGCTGCAGTTGGAGGCTTTCGAGAAGAACCGCCAGGATGCGGCGCTGGGCCCGCCGGGCACGGGCAAGACCTTAGTTGTCAACCGCTGCGTTCGGCGCTGGCAGGCGCGTGGCGCGCAGGTCCTTTTCGCGCTGCCGACCGGGCAACTGGCCGCGGAGACGAGCCGCAGCCACCCTGAGATCGACGTGGACACCTGCCACGGCGCGTTCTTGTTTTACAAGGAGATCTCACAAGCGCTGCCGCTGCTCAGCGGCTATGACTTGATCGTTGTGGACGAGGTGTCCATGCTCACGGCGGAGCACTTTGACCGGCTGGTTGCCATGTGGCACGCGGCGGGCCGCCTGCCTTGCCTTGACGGACAGTCCGGCGTGGCGCAATGTGACGGAGATCAACTTCTCTGTGGTCTACCGCTGCGAGGACCCAAAGCTGCAGCACAAGCTCAACGCCCTGCGGACGAGTGTTCCGAGCGCCAAGGTGCTTGGGAAGATTGCCAACACGGCTCATCGCGCACCTTCGACGTGCTGTCGGTGCTCCGCAAGACGGACTACAAGACAACCATGGTCACCTGCACGCGCAAGGGCGCGTTGTTGTTTAATGAGCTGGCCGTCAAGGTGTTGTTCCCGGACCGCCATCAGGAGCCGCTTGGCGAGCTGCTGTTCGACTGGGAGGCGGACCCGGCGAACTTCAACAGAGAGGGTGAGCCGGCGGGTGACACGCGGGCGCTGCCGACGCAGATCTATGCGGACTTGCGCATAGTTCTCACAAAGAACCTGAACAAGAAGCAGGACTTCGTGAATGGCATGGGGGCGGTCGTCGAAGCCTATGGCGCTGCCAGTGGCTGCCTCAAGCGGCTTGCGATTTGCAAGATCCGTAAGCGCGTGGGCCGGCGGGGTGTGGACTACTTCCCGGCCCGTCTCGGCTACGCGGCGACGGTCCAAAAGATTCAGGGCCAGAGGCTATGTTGCGCTGTCGCGGGTCCGCCGCGACGATGACTATTTGATTGCAGGCAATGTGAGCCCGCAGCGCTTCATCCCGGCGATGTAGATAGCAAGATAGCAACGCAGTGACACAACTCCGTGGCAAGACTTCTCCATAGACATGCGTCGTCGACGCGCCGCGAGGCCGCGAGGTGGCAGAGGGGAAAAACGCCTTTCGGACGCCGCGCCCGCAACACGGCGCTTCGATTCAAAAACACTTTTGGCTTTTGCCTCGCTCGCTCGCTCGCTCGCTCGCGCCTGCAGCTCGGGCGGCGGCCGCGCCGAGCTCGCGCTCGCCCGCACTTCTCGCGCCTCGCGCTGCCTGGCTCTGCCCCCCCGCCCTGCGCCGTATTTTGTCCTCTCGGCGCTGCGCGCAAGGGGAGCTGTAGACCCGAGGGTTTGCTTGTCGAACCCTAAACCCTAAAAGAGTCTGAGTCTGGGTTGGGTCAAGGGCGGGAACTCCATAGCGGCGCGGAGCGATCGGCTCGGGGGAATTTTTCCCCAAGCGAGCACCCTCATTGGTCACACCCTAAACCCTTGACCCTTGAACCCTAAACCTAAACCCTCAACACTCAACCCTAAAGTGATGCGCTGGCTACCGCAGCAGAAGCCCTAAAGTGATGTGTTGACTACCTGAAGAAGTGACAGGCGCAGCAGAAACCCTAAACTGATGTCTTGGCTACCTGAAGGTGACAGGCGCAGCAGAAACCCTAAAGTGATCTGTTGGCTACCTGAAGGAGTGACAGGCGCAGCAGCAACCCTAAAATGATGTGTTGGGTACCTGAAGAAGTGACAGCCACAGCGGAAACCCTAAGTGATGTGTCGACTACCTGAAGAAGTCACAGGCGCAGCACAAACCCTAAAGTGATGTGTTGACTACCTGAAGAAGTGACAGGCGCAGCAAAAAACCTAAAGCGATGTGAGTTGGTCATCATGAAGCGCAGTACCGGCCAAACAAGTACGACCAAAGTGAGAAAACCACTGCGACCAAACTGAGAAATGACTAGGACGAAAGTGAGTCACTGTCTGGGCGGGTTCTTCCATTTTTGGTATTGACGGCGCAGAAAACCAACAAGGACCAAAGTGAGCAAAAAAATGCGACCAAAGTGAGTCACCTGCCGCGTGGTAACGCAGAGCCCACTCGTCACTGGTGGCGCCATTTCAACGACTACGACGAATTCACGCCTTGGCTCATCTTCACATCGCCCAACCACTTCTTGTTGGAAGTCTCAACACGGATTTGTGTCGCCTACCGATGGCGTCCCTGAAAAGTCTGAGCGCGCAGTAAGCCGAAACTCCATTGCCCTCGCGGAGACCTTTAAAGCTGGCACACGGGATGCGCCTCGCAAGTTCGCTGTTTCCCAACAAGTGTGTGTGTGTGTGTGCGAGAGTGTATGTGTCTGTGTCTGTGTCGGTGTCTGTGTCTGTGTGTCTGTGTCTGTGTCTGTGTCTGTGTCTCTGTTCTGTCTGTGTGTCTGTGTGTCTGCGTGTTTGTGTGTTTGTGTGTTTGTGTGTTTGTGTTTTTGTGTTTTTGTGTTTTTGTGTGTTTGTGGTTTTGCGTGTTTGTGTGTTTGTGGTTTTGTGTGTTTGTGTTTTTGTGTTTTGTGTGTTTTTTGCTTGCGTGTTTGTGTGTTGGTGTGTTTGTGTTTTTTTGCGTTTTTTTTTGTGTGTTTCTGGTGTTGTGTGTTGTGTGTTTGTGTGTTTGTGTTTTTGTGTGTTTGTGTGTTTGTGTGTTTGTGTGTTTGTGTGTTTGTGTGTGTCTGTGTCTGTGTGTTTGTGTGTGTTACACGTATGTATATGTTGAGTACACGCTTCAACTACGGGCTAGTAAGTGAACCAACAAATCTACATGCCAATGACATCGCGTCATCCCCACATCACACCGGTGAGAACAAAGTGGAGAGCCGGGTTGCGGCTTTTTGCCCGTTGAAAGCCCGCGTGACGAAGGCGTCACCATGCCGGCGCTCAACTGGGGCAGCGACATGCTCGAGGTGATCTGGGCCTCCCGGGGTTTGCTGCTGAACCGAGCGGCCCTCAACAAGATCAGCGCCATGGTGGCTCGCGGGAGGCAGGTGTGCGAATCCAGGGTGCATTTGGCGTTTCGCGCACAGACAGGCTGCCCGGCGGCATCCTGCAGGTCACCAAAATGTTCATACCCAACTTGCCGCCTGGATTAGCCCGTAGCCGCTCCCTTTGGATGCCCCTTTGGGAAAATCTATAGGTCAGGCTCGCACATTTGCTGTCCATTTCGGCCTCCAGAAATGCTATACTTGCGACTTTGAAGGGGTGTTCGGAATTACCCGCTGGCTTTCGATTGCTTAGTCTGTTTCAACGCGGGCCGCAAGAGATTCAAGCAAACCCCCTTGTCAGCGCTGGTACGGCGCTAGCCCTTTTGGGCGGGGGAGAAACTTGTGTTGCTTTCAAAAGCTGGTTTGCTAAAAGCCCGTTTGCTCAAAGTCTGTATGGTTCCAGCAGACTCGGTTTGGTTCCAGCATCATGGCCCGGGAGCACGTTGACCATTCCATCGCACGGGTGCTGTGTTGCCATTTTCCTGCCCAAATCCAAAGCCTCAAGCTCTTCTAGCTCCGACTGAAAACCCGCGCGCGAGCCACACAATCTGCGCATGTGCTCTTAGACGCATGGAAGCCATCGTTTGCAAACAGCTTGGGAAACAACATGTGGACAACCAGCCATGTGTTTGCCAAGGAGAGTTCTGCAAACTGGCTTGGTCTACGCCTTTGCTGGGGACAGCCACATGCAGGGTCTGGTGGAGTTTGTTTTTGCTGCAGCTCTGCGCGGGCATGACCAGGCGCTGAGAATTCGGTGGATGCCCGAACATAGCGAGCGGTTTCTGGAGGGAGAGCTGGTGTTGGAGCGCTTTGCCTTCCGATTGGCAGCGGCCTCCTTTGGGTGGTCTAGAAGGGACCGCAACAAGGCCGGCTTGCGGGGACCAAAAAGAGGCAGATCAGATCCTGGCCTGAGACTGAGAAAGCGGAGCACCACGTTCTGGGAAAGCTGCCTGGGCCGCATGAACTGCGCTGCAAGCATGCTGCCGCACCTGGGTTGAGAGAGTTGGGCAGGAGTTCTCCAAACCCAATTTAAGGGCAGGTGCGGGAAGCGTGGCAATGTAGGTTGACGCTTCGGTGTTCCAGAATGTTTCTGCCCATAGGAGGGTGTCGAAACGCTCCTTGCTCTCAGGAGTTAGGCGCGGCTCCTTCATTGGTTGTATTTGGGCGATTTGGATGTTTCCTGAATCTTGGCCCTGCCAAGACGGGCTGGTCATATTGACCTTGAAAGCTTTCGCCCACTTCCGTTTCCATAAGGGGCCACGGGTGGCAGAACAAGCATTATGTTCATTTGACACGGGCACGCGCGCTGACATGTAAGCAGTAACGCAGGACCTGAGTCTTCCACCCAGAAAAATTCGAGCATCCCGTGCGATCAGCCGCTCTTGAGGACCCATTCCGGAGAATAGTCCTACTCAAGCAGGCGCATCCTGATCTCGTAACTAGAACACACAAACCAGGAACCGCTGTCAACGGGCCGCGGGCTATTCCAGTTTCAAGTCAGTATGGTAGTTGGTGACGCGTCAAGTACTCTACTCAACTCAGACAACCAGGATAACAATAGACAGGGGACACATGTTCCTGACAAGATGCGTAATGACATGAACGGGTGTAACAACACAGCTGGAATGCCCAGGACACGGAACATGGGTTGCAATTAACACGAATGTATTCGGAATAGACGCATGGCAATGGCACACTGAAGCTTCCGATTCGCAGGCAGTGTGTTTTGGTGATCCACCCGATGGTCTCGGAGGAGCAGATGAAGGATCTGCATCGGCTGGTGCCGCGGGTTTCTTGCCTCGCCGGGCCCAACCTCCGCTTGCGAGGCGAGCTAAGACGCAGGGGCGGAGAACCTGTTGTGACCCGAGTTAGATTTGCTTTGGCCGGGTCATTGAAATTTGGCCGGGCAATCGCAGGTTCGTCGCTGTCAGGCTGACCTACCGAACCATGACCAAAGCGTGCTGCCCCCACACAGACCGCGAGGCGACAGCCCGGTGCACAACGCCTTCAGCGCACCAACTTCCGCGGTATCCCGCGCCCGGAGCCTCGGAGGTTCACAGAACACGTAGAACCAGCTCTCGTTTAATGCCTTGCGCAAGCCTGGCTTTGGGCTCGGGCTTGTGTGTTTGCAGCGTGCGTGCTTATCGCAGACGCAGCCTCAAAGCTCTTCGCTCTCTGCCTGTTTACGTGTGCGTTCACCACGCGCGCCACAAACGTGTTTGTGAGCACGCTTTGCGAGCACCCTGCAGGCATCTGTTGAGAGCGCAATCAACACGTATGAGGACCAGTGCGCTGCAAACGTGTGTGTGTGTGTGAACATGCTCCAAGCGTGTTTGCGAGCATGCCGCGAACGTGTTTGTGCACGCTGAGCTGGGGTTTTGCACCTAACCGTGTTCAAGTTGGCAAAGTATCCTCTGGCCAAATGTGGCGAATGTCCGGAGTTCGCTGTAGGATGCGTGGTCGTCTTCCTGGTGCCGGTCTGTGAGGAGGAATCGGCAGATCTGGTCTCACCTGGTCTCCTTCTCCTGGTCTGCCACGCATCCACACAGCGCCGCGCCGCAACTTTTTGGTGCGGGGCGGTGTGCGTGAGATGTAGATGTGGTGCCTGGCACCGCTTTATCTACCTGCGGGGCTCGGGGTCGCCGCCGGTGATGACCTAGCAACAGTAAAAGCGAGAACCGAAAGAGGGGAACAACCGAGCGGGCAAAGAAGCAGTGCTCTGAAAGGAAGGCAATGGCATGCTGGCGCAAGTCCCTTTTCTTTTTGGTTCAGAAACGCTTTGCATCGGACGGCATGTCCGATCTTGCCAGACGAGGCGCTACAACACAGCTGGTGAGTTCCAGAGGTGGAACGCGGAAAGGCCGAAGGAGTCAAGCCATCAGATTGATTGCAGGGAAATTGCAACAGAGAGGTGCGCGCTGTGGGCCCTAGTGGTTTCCATATTAGAAACGATGGTTTTTGCAGACGTTCAATCAGGATTTTTCAAGGCAACTCAGCAGAGTATAACCTTGATGTGAACATGTAGGGTATAGGACAAAAATCGGTACAAAGTTCAGAAAATGGGCAACACAAACATTAAAGCAGCACACAACAAAAGGTTATACCATTAATCAGTCAAAACTTGACGCCAAAAATAGAATTAATCATGACGCTATTTTGGTTTTAATCAAACCATTCTCATATGCTTCCCTAATTAATAAGAAAGAAGCAACTGTGCTGTTTGCTCAAGAGATAGGCTCAGGTGATATCCCCAACAGCATGCAAGCCACCGATCCAAGACATCAATCATAGCGCACAGCCGGTTTTGCTTTGCCGCTTCAGCTGTTAAGGAACAGCCGGCGGCGCCCTCGCAGAACCTCGTGGAACCTTGGTTACCTCAGGGCCGCCCCGGACCACCCCGGAGCCTTTCTGGGCTGAGACCCCAAAGCTTTCAGCTGTTGGGGAAAAAGAAGCATAGATGGTAAACACGATTTCTCGAAAATTGAATTACTTTAAACAAGTATTATCTTCAAATGTTGACCTTCTAGTTATAGTACTGCCAAAATCAGCTGACTCAACTTTGAATGACATGTTCTTCCAGATGCGAATTTTATGTCACAGCTTAAGACTGTTTCACTTTATGATTTTACTTTCTAGGGACTGGAGAACTCTAGGCAAAGAACCTATTTCATACTTTATTAGGAGAACAGAGTCCTCATTACAGGGGCAGATATCTGGAAAGTAATCACTCAAAACATTTTGTAGATTCTAAATCACAAGCAGAACATAAAATACTAGTTACATTATAAACAAAAATTCCTCAGGCAGTTTATATAAATTAAACTCACTAGGATCAAGTAAAGTCTTCATACTTAATGATTCCCTAACAAATTCAGAGCCAACTCTCCCCCTTGATTTGGCTATTGAAGCTAGTGTTGAATCATTTCTTCTTGTTTCTACAGATAAGGCAGTTAGACCAACATGGGTGCTACGAAGCGGGTATGTGAGCCAGATTTACAGAACGTGGGGTCTAAAAGTACTAAGCTGGCGGCAGTTCGTTATGGCAACGTTGTAGGTGGGAGTGGAATTGTGATTTGAGAGTTTGAGGAACAGCTTAAAGTCCTTTGACCGTCACCCATCCAGATATTACTAATTTTTACGCTTTTTTCAGAGGCTTGTGAATTCGTATCACAAGCCGGAGCGATAGCTAAAAATTCTGAAGTTGTTGTATTAGATACTGGTAAGCACGTTAAGATAGTAGAGCTTGCTCAACAGTTCAAAAGGCTATCAGGTATGGAAGATATTGAAATAACAATTGCAGGGCGGGGGCGTGGTGAGAAATTATATGAAGCGCTTCTTATGGATGAAAGTGATATTCGTACAGAAAATAAGGGTATACGTATAGGCAAAAAAGTTTTAACTCTAGAGGTTTTTCCCGAAAGCATCGCGAAGGGCTCTTCCACGCGGAGCTCTCGGACCAACTTGCGTAGAGCCACTTGCGCAGAGTCAAACGCATAGAGCCAAGTGCATGGAGAAAAGTGCAAAGAGCCGTGCATAGAGCCAAGTTCATAGAGCCAAGCGCAAGGAGAGCCAAGCGCACAGAGACGAGTGCACAGAGCCGAGTGCATAGAGCCGAGTGCGTAGAGCCGAGTGCGTAGAGCCAAGTGCATGGAGCCAAGTGCATAGAGCCAAGTGCAGAGCCAAGTGCATAGAGCCGAGTGCACAGAGCCGAGTGCACAGAGCCGAGTGCACAGAGCCGAGCGCATAGAGCCGAGTGCAAAGAGCCAAGCGCATAGAGCCAAGCATAGAGCCAAGTGCATAGAGCCAAGTGCATAGCGCTTCGGCGTTAGCAGCTATGTAAGTTAAGTTTAGGTTTCTAGGGTGCCAGGGCAGGAGTTTGATCGATCCCCGCAGAGCATCGCGCGGGCAGATCAGAAATCGCAAAAAACCTCGAGTTTTTGCACCTCGACCACGCCGATCCCCGCAGTAGGCCGCGCGGGCGCCGCAAGAATCACAAAAAAACCTGCAGTTTTTGGACCTCGACCACGTCGATCCCCGCAAACACCTCGAGTTTCTGCACCTTGACCACGCCGATCCCCGCAGAGGGTCGCGCGGGCAGATCAGAAATCGCAAAAAAAAACAAGTTTTTGCACCTCGACCACGCCGATTTCTGCGATTTGTGAAGTTTTTTTTGCAAACTTGAAGTGATTTGCGATTTCTGATCTGCCCGCGCGACCCTTTGCGGGGATCGGCGTGGTCACGGTGGCAGAAACCCGAGGTGTTGCCGGGATCGGCGTGGTCGAGGTACAAAAACTCGAGGTTTTTTGCGCTTTTGCGGTGCGCGGATGAACCCTCTGCGGGGATCGTGCGTGTCGACGCGCTCTCGCGGCAGCGCCGTGCGGATTCGTTTTAGTCTCGGCGAACCCTCTGCGGCGATCGTGCGTGTCGAAGCGCTCTCGCTGTGGCGCCGTGCGATTTTATTACTTGCGAAACGGTCCCTGGACATCGGCTATCGATTCTAATCAATCACTTTCGATTCCTATTGAAACAGCTTTGATTTCAATAGAAATCTAAGTGATTTTAGGAGCTCTAAAATCAACACCAAAGCCCCCTTCAAAATCAAAGAAAATTGAGAACACAATCAAAAGAAACCATAGCTGTGTTGCTTGCCAAGTCATATGCCAAATGAATAAGCAGTGACAGATATGCACCGCTACCCTAAGGCTGCAAAAGTCTTAAGTCAAGAAAGACAAATGTTTACGTAAACGGGAGAAAGTACGAAAATAGTTGTTCAAAAAGGGCTAAATAATTACATTTCTAGTTTGCTCCCATAATCATGGCCAAATTTGGTTGTGGTGGAAAAATGCAAAGTCCCACGCACGCGCGCCGAAGCAAGGACCGTACACTACAGCACGTGGCCAGAAAAATCCAAACTTTCATTTACCACTATTGTCTTACCGCTAAAATGGTTTTCCAAAAAAGTTGAAAAGTCCAGGAATCAGGGACAGTTCCCAATCAAAATCAACCAGGGGCTTAACTTCATCTGCGATTCCCATTGCCTTCCTGTCCACTAACATGGAACCTATGAAAGGGCCCCTCCTGGTTGCTAGTCTTTGTTTGTTGTGTGTTTTTGGTTTTGGGGAATTCCCAAGGTTTTGTTTGAAACTTTGCACTTACTTAGGGTTTGTTGGGAATGTCTATCTGGGATATGGTTGCTGACATGTTGATTGTTTGGTTTGTGGTATTCCTGAAAGCATCGCGAAGGGTTCTTCCGTGCGGAGCCCTTAGACAAGTTACACAGAGCCAAGTTGCACAGAGCCAAGTTGCACAGAGCCAAGTTACATAGAGCCAAGTTACATAGAGCCAAGTTACATAGCCAAGTTACATAGAGCCAAGTTACATAGAGCCAAGTTACATAGAGCCAAGTTACATAGAGCCAAGTTACATAGAGCCAAGTTACATAGAGCCAAGTTACATAGAGCCAAGTTACATAGAGCCAAGTTACATAGAGCCAAGTTACATAGAGCCAAGTTACATAGAGCCAAGTTACATAGAGCCAAGTTACATAGAGCCAAGTTAGTTACATAAGAAGTTACATAGAGCCAAGTTACATAGAGCCAAGTTACATAGAGCCAAGTTACATAGAGCCAAGTTACATAGAGCCAAGTTACATAGAGCCAAGTTACAGAGCCAAGTTACATAGAGCCAAGTTACATAGAGCCAAGTTACATAGAGCCAAGTTACATAGAGCCAAGTTACATAGAGCCAAGTTACATAGAGCCAAGTTACATAGAGCCAAGTTACATAGAGCCAAGTTACATAGAGCCAAGTTACATAGAGCCAAGTTACATAGAGCCAAGTTACATAGAGCCAAGAGCCAAGTTACATAGAGCCAAGTTACATAGAGCCAAGTTACATAGAGCCAAGTTACATAGAGCCAAGTTACATAGAGCCAAGTTACATAGAGCCAAGTGACACAGAGCAAGGTGGCACAGAGCCAAGGTTAGGTAGAGCTTGCGTAGAGCTTCGGCGTTAGCAGCTATGTAAGTTAGTTTAGGTTTCTAAGGCGCCGGGGCGGGAGTTTGATCGTCGCTCGGGATTGCGACCCTCTGCGGAGATTCGCGTGGTCGAGGTCAAAAAACTGAGGACTTTTTTACGATTTCTGCGGTGCGCGCGCGGCCCTCTGCGGAGATTCGCGTGGTCGAGGTTAAAACTGAGGACTTTTTACGATTTCTGCGGTGCGCGCGCGACCCTCTGCGGAGATTCGCGTGGTCGAGGTTAAAAAACTGAGAACTTTTTACGATTTCTGCGGTGCACGCGCGACCCTCTGCGGAGATTCGCGTGGTCGAGGTTTAAAAACTGAGGGCTTTTTACGATTTCTGCGGGCCGCGCGCGACCTTCTGCGGAGATTCGCGTGGTCGAGGTTCAAAAACTGAGGGCTTTTTACGATTTCTGCGGTCCGCGCGCGACCCTCTGCGGAGATCGTTCGCGTCGAAGCGCTCTCGCTGTGGCGCCGTGCGAATTTGTCTTAGCCGTGCAATTTTCTTGCCTTTTGGAACTTGTCTCGTGGTTTGCGCGCCTGCTTTCGCATTCCCGCGGTCGCGGGTTCGATTCCCCCCTGGTCCGCGGCAGCTCCGGCTTGAAATCGCAGCTTTTAAGTACAAACGTAGCGTAGTACGCGGAGCGTGCTCCTGCAGCTCCGGCTGGAAAATCGCAACTTTTAAGTACAGACGTAGTATGCGGAGCGTGCTCCCGCAGCTCAGGCTGGAAAATCGCAACTTTTAAGTACAAACGTAGTACGCGGAGCACACCCCCGCAGCTCCGGCTTGAAAATCGCAACGTAGCACGCGGACCGTACTCCTGCAGCTCCGGCTGGAAAAT